TACATCTGCGCATCCAAGAGGTCTCCCGAGTTCCAGCAGGAGGATGGAAACCTCTGGAAAGATCATCCCAATGGGCCCAAAGGCAAGCAGAACCAATTCCAAGGGTAAGCCACAACCAAATTGTATTCATACAGGGAGGGGAATACGAAAACCCCACCCCCCGCAAGAGGAGCCCCACCTCAGAGGGCACCAAAAGACCACAAAGGGTCAAAAGGGACGCAAGGGCCAAACTCGGACTCACTCCACGCCCCAGAGGTCACAGTGATGGCCCCGGGGCAAAGTCATCATCCTCGACACTTTCTGGAATACAGAAGTAGAGTCTGAGGAAAAGACCTCAAAGGAAGAAGGTGCTGGCTGAAAGACCCAGAAGCCTCAGCTAGCTGACTCAACTGCCTTAATGCCCACAATTGAAGGGGCATCCCATGGACCTGACCGAGGCAAATCCCAAACCCAAAACCCTCAGATGCTTCAGGACTGGAAACAGGGAGGGTGGGTCAGAAGAAGAGTGAACAACACCCACCGGGAAAGGAAGAGGAAGCATGGATGGAACCTAGGTCAAGTTGACCAATGTCTCCAATCCCAGGTCCCCAACACCAACCTGTTTTACTCCGGGGCATCGAACCAGACACGACGTAGACTGCTGTAACCTAGCAAATCAAACTCGTAAAGAGGTCATTGCTGAAAATCCCGAACCTCATCAATAGGATCTGAAAAAAGTAGTCACATAAGAACAAACCCCACAAGACATAGAATTGAAGGTGTTACCTACCCAACAGGCAGCATGAAATGAACATTGCCACATGGCATGAAAGATGTACAGCTCTCAAACTCACATGAAGTGAGAGCAAGTTCGTGGGGAATATCCAGAGACCACTGAACCTGCAGAGAATTACCAAGGCCCGAAAGAACTGACCAAGCAGGACACCCCAGGCATTGAGACGCTTCGCCAGACCTAAAGCAAACAGCCAAATTTATACCAACAGAACCAAACCAACATTTAAGAGGATGGTGTGTCTCATAATGCATGAGTGACAAAGTATAGAAACAACATTGTAGGTCAACACAGCCTGGCTATGATTGCCGAAAAGGCCTACCTTGACATGCTATAGTGTAGCCTGTGAATAACCAGTACACCCATGCCAGCCAATGTCACTCCCCGACCCGAGTGAAGACGGGAAAATCTGAAGACCTCTGACTCACCCTGGGCGACAGCCACCACAAGCTAGGTGAACCTCTAAGGGAGTGCCTCTTTAACACCTCAGGGAAGAGAAGCCTGAAGTGCAAGAAAAGCACTAGGGAGCACACAATTAAGATAACCTTGTGCACATGCAGTGCCAAGTACACAAGAAGTCCAGGCTCACACAACACTGCACAGTGTGCAACAATGTCCACAAAGGCAAAACACCACTTGCCCAAAATGCTATGCATACTAGTGGCTTTAAGTATTTTATGTACTAGCTCTATTTTTAAATTCCAACATCATGTTTGTAACTCATCTTCAATGTACTGTATGTACATTTACCCGAATAAAAAATCTAATCTAATCTAGTGCAAACAAAATGCCAGAGTCAAAGCAGCAGAGGGGTGACTATGCACACACTACATATATCATCATAGAACTAAGGGCTATCACCAGCTGCAAGCTACCTCTCCCCAAATGAGTTGGGGCAAATGTTAGTGTTAGCTTTTTAAAAAAAAAAAAAAAAAAAAAAAAAGTATGCTATGTGCACTTATAAGAGTAAGGTTTAAAATATATATTAGTATGAATAAAAATACATAATGCATATATTTACACACACACACACACACACACACCTGTATATACAGTACAGTACTCATATTTTCAAAGTTAAATATAATGAACACCAACTTTGACATAATACAACCTGTTAGCACAAAATGAACTAAATAAATAGAGAAACGAGAATAAATGGACAGTTATTTTCATGCGGCCCTCACCTCATTTTTACCAAAAAACCACAACTTCTCTGTGGGCCATGACAGCTAGACCACACGAGGTAGAGACTTTTTAATTGGCTTGTTGTGCTTTCTGGATACAACTTATAATGTTCAAAGAAAAAAAAATTCAGAAGTTTTTTTTGTACACCATGGGGATGTCGGCTATTAACAGGTATGCAAACCCAGGGGTTAAGGTAAATCTGTCACACATCTGCAAGAGGTCACTTGTGTGCAAGTGTTCACTTAGACTGCTTCCCGTGATTCCCTCTGGTATAACTATATTGGCCACATTTTTCCATTTTAGTTGCTGTAAGTTGAATTTGCCATGCAAAATGATGTTAGGGGGTAGGGTTTGTGAGGTTTTCAAAGCAGTGTTCTATTTCTGTAAGTTGGTCTTTAAACTGCTGAGGATTTGCATCTGGTGATTTAAATACAAGGATAGTTACCACATTTTGAATGTCTATTTTGAGTAACAGCACTTCCACCATATTATTTGTGGTGTTTAGCAGCTATGTGCAGACGAAGGTGTCTTTGATGTACAGGCTGACCCTACCCTGTAACCTATGTTTCCTATCACATCTGAAAAGATTGAATTCTGGTATGAAGTAATCAGGGGGATAAAACCCTTCATGCAAACTGAACATACCCTAAAGAAGAATAATTCTGATATCCATATCTCACCGTCATAATAGTCCTTTGTGTTAGTTTCAGTCGAAGCTGTAAACATTGCATTTGCCTCATTTAGGTGACCAGTTATATAGTGGACTTTGTTGTGCATGTTTTGATACCTTGTATGTTGGCAAATACAATGGCTGTTATCATATTTGTCGAAGTGCTGAGTGTTAATACTTGGTGTTAATATCTGTAGTTCTGGTAGGGGTGCCACATGGTCTGTGTCCTGTCAAGTATTTGACAGTTGATGTTAGAGTTTGGAACATTTCTTACCATTGTTTCCTCTCTTACTGAATAATAGAAAATTTGTTTTCAAAATGTATTAGTTCTGATGGAAGGGATAAGTAACATCAAAGTGTTAAAAATACACTGTGTTAAGTGTTACAATGTTAAAAATAATCTACATAAAAACATAATGACACTATACCTTTAATTTAGTGTTTCCTCTGTTCAATGTCCTAATGTATAGAGTGAAGGCATTACCAGGTGATTTTGGCTTTGAGATGTCAATGTCAGGCTCTTTCCTCTCAATCTTTGCAGCTTTAGTACATTTTCTTTTCTTTGTTTTTGCACTTTTCTCTTTCTTGAGATCTTCAATGTTTTGAATTTGCTCACTGCTGAGATTCTGTATATAGTTGTTATACCTAAAAAAAAAAAAAAAGCATTGAATGCATCTTTCTGGTTAGGCATAAGTGGCTCTCTGAAGCTAGCCAAATTGAGATACCTCCACACACATTATTCACATCAGCTCCTTAATAGCCTACTGGAGACCTAAGCTATTACCTAGCCACCCCCCCCCCCCCACCCTCCCTCACAGAGGTGCAGTGAGCAGGGAATTTTTATGATCGCCCCCACCATGAAAACGTTAAAAAAATATACGATGTGAAATGGACAACTACCAGGTTCACAGGAGAAAAGAAACGAAACAGCAAACAACTCTGAATACGATCCATTCACTAGACAGTTTGAACCCACCTTAGTTATAGCAGACTACTGACAGGTGGTTGCACAACTTAGCTGCTAGCTTCCTATATCAACATGCCTCAATCTGGAGCCTGGGACAACAAACCGACACCCGCTAGAGAGAACAGGGAACCAGAGTCCACCAGGGTACCATGCCCCTGGCAGTTCAGTTCTATAATCATGCAGAAGAGTCACAGTAACGTGGCTGAAGATATAATGACCAAACCACACATCAAAATAGGAAGAGACAACAATGTTTCGGTCTGCCCTGGACTATTATCAAGTCACAATTGACATGATAATGGGCCAGGATGGCCCGAAATGTCGTCGTCTCCTCCTCAAACCACAGGTTGTAAAGCCTCCGCACCCAGAGTGGAACATTGCAACGCCAACTCCTCATGCAGGTGCTCATCAAACCTCTCCATGGGGACCCCAGACTTGCAAGACTGCAGCCAGATGTGAATGCATCCTATGATCATCCACAATAAAAGCCCCAGAAAGTGCAGTCAGCTGCACATGGAGCTGCAACTTGCACACATCCTTGGGAAGTGCTGGAGTATACAGGAAGGACTGAAGCAGGGTAAATTGAAACATTCGAAAACACCTTTAAGACAGAGGTCACCCCCACCAGTCAAGCATACAAGAATGACAGAACCCTTACCAAGACCCCCAAAAAAGGAGAGGGTTATCAGCTAGCCAGAATGAGCCCAAGACCTCAAACTGTAACTAAAAAGAGGAGCTGGACCTGAATTCAAGAGAGGCCAGGTCTTGTAGAAAAGAGGTCTGAACTCCACAGGGGGTTCCAAAGCAAATCCATATGAACCACAGAAGGTGTAGGGCAGGATGGAAGCCTCCATAAAAACTGTAAATATGAGTTACCTAACAGGACCCGGAAACGAACCTGAGGGGAAAGAACGAGTGATCCAACTCGTACATGACAGGGGGATAAGAAAAATGATCCCACCATAACATTAAAACCCTCTGTGGAGGGAACCAAGAAGGGCTGAAAGGCACTCAAGGGCACTCCTCGGCCTGCCCCTCAAACCAAAAGCCTGTCAGTGAGGACCCGGGGCAGAGCCAAAGTATTTGCCCAACACCCGAGACAGGAAGGTGTCCTCCCTAAGAGAAGGGTTGGGGCAAGAGGCAGGTGTGAAGGCAAGCGATCTGAAACCCAAGTAGGACCAGAAGGCACAACTGTCTCTGCTGTCGACATAGAAGGGTCTACCCCCCGAGAAGACCGAGCTACACCCAGAGCTAAGCCCCGACCCGACTCTGAAACCCTCAGATGCTTAGGAGCTAGAACTAGGAGAGAGAAGACCAGATGCAGGTTAAACAACAGATGCAGGGGAAGGAGGAGGATACCCAAACTTTGTCCAGGTGCAGTTCACCAACACTTTCAATTCATGGCTCCTGAGCACCCTAAACTCCAACTCTGGGGCATGTTACTGATCAATATGCTATGAATGCCGAACACAAGCAAACCCAACTCACTGAGTGGCAGCTGCCTGAAATGCCTCTAATGGGGAGGCAGAATCCATTAATTCGGAGACCAACTGAGAATATACTCACATGATTCAGTCATACGTGTCTCCTACCCATAAGGCAGCATGGCAGAGGCAGAAAGAATGATCATCATGAGGAAACAAAGACGATGAGCATCCTCTCAACTCGCACTTAGCAAGAGTTGGCTCGACAGGCCAATCCATAATGAACCATGCCAGAAATCCACAGGGTATTCCCTAGGATGTAAGGCAGATAACCAAGCAGATACCCAAGGCACTAGGGGCTGCATGCCAGAAGAGTATACAGGAATTCACCAACTGTAGTCAAAACAACGAGGGTACACTGGATGACTGTGGAATGCCCCGTAAAAACAAACATGCAAACCCAAGTGCACTCCAGCACAACCAAAGAACACCTGCAGCCAATGATCCAAACAGAAGAATCAAAGAACCATAAACAGTCCAAGACATGGCCAGAACGTGTCTGGGGTGAACTCTCAAACACACCAGAGAAGGTAACTCTTACAGTTCAAGAGCAGCATTACCAAACATCCAGGGAAGGGAACTATCAAGAGAAAGCACCAGGTCATTATGACTATAGAGCACTTGGAAGGGATCAGTGTAAGGACTTAAGATGGGACGGGAAAAGGAATGGTGCCCAACCATTTCCATATGTACTATACATACATACATACATACCAGTACATACATACATAATAACAATACAACTTACTTTATACTATATTCCTCTTTCTGTTTCTTATATTCCAGCAGCCATTTGTTTTTTTCATTGTCACCAAGATTCTTCCATATCTGTGTAATTTTGTAAATTCTTTCTGCAAAATATAAAGACCTTTAGTCGATATATCTGAAAAGAACACATTAATAAAGGACAAATTCAGTTATGGAGCCATCTCAGCTTAATTAGTGAAATATTAAGCTCTGCCAATACTTTTTTTTTATAAATAAAGCCTATATTTTTAGTCATAGTGAAAACTTCATTTGAAAAATTAGCAACCTGTAACACTTTTGCTGCAAATGCTCTTTCGAGAATGCTCTGTGTTTCTAAGGTGTGCGTGGACAGCACCTAGGAGCACTACATCATCTGGAACACTGGTTGGGCATGCAATTATCCGAGGTCTCTAGGGACATAGCCGCCCTGGTTTGATAAAACTTGGGATGGGATCAGTGGCAACCCGAGCTTTGTGAAGGCAATACATTACCCAGTACGTCTAGCCCCTAAAGTTAAGAAAAAAAGGATTCTTGTTTATTTGATTCAAAAAATGATTAATTATTAAATAGTGACATATGGGTCTGAATAAATTTGTGAAAAAATAGTTGATATAATGGATTTGAGTGGCAGAAAAAAAAATATTTTGAGAGCAAAAGTATGAGTCAATCATACAATCACTATGTATGTATGCTATGCATGCAAAACCAAATGATTTTCCATACTGTACAGTATTTTCATTATTTTTCCAATAATCTATGTATATTATGGTTATGTGTATAGGAATAACTTTTTTTTGTTCATTCTGGGACGAGTCCTTTGGTACTCCCTATAGACATCTCACTTAGATGCCTCCCCACTACTGGGTCATATTAACCATTGGCCTACCAATGTTCGGCCTACCAGACACCTGAGCTAGAACCTAGCCTCTCCCCCTCCCTCTCTTCCATCACTGAGGCACAAAATGCAGGGGAATATTATAGTTACTCCTCACTGCAAAAGTATCCAGAATGTTGATTCTTTATAGACAACTGCCTAGTTCATACAAAATGAAGCATTGTGACAGCCAAATGATTCCACAAACTATCCAATCCAAACAATTGGTTCACTCAAAACTAGTTTGAACCTGTTACTACCAATGGTTACCACCAGTGGCCTAGAGTCCAGTCAACAGCCAGTTCCAAGGTTTGTCAAGTCGCTCACGTGGTTGATACCACTAGTGTGCTACCCAGGTTCTGGAGCCCTTCTGGCAGAAGACAACAGGACTCTTATCCACTTGGCATTTATCATGCATTAATGGGCTGTCATGGAGATTTTTGTACACACTCCATGTAACATGGATTCACTCACTTTGGTCCCAGGTGTGGAGGCCTTTTTGCCTGCAGTGCCAGCTTATCCAGCATTCCACTTTGCTTGTTTCATGTGACAATAGGTTGTGCTGACCTTGGATTTTGATTTGGCCTGGTCCTTCACCCATTGTCCCACTTTTTTTTTTTGCTTCTCTTTCCTGAGAGTGCTGTCACTCAATTTATTTCAACTGCTACTGTTGTCCTATCTGTCTGATGTTGTTCCATCAAGGTTCTGCCCCTGCTTTTCGGAGGCAGTCTGGCTGGGTTGGAGCCTCGCCTGCTATTGGTTGTGGTAGGACCTTGGCACAATCAGATTCTATGGCCTTTGCACTTCCTTCAGAGGTTGCCTGTTCTGCTTGTTATCACCATTCTGTACTGTCGAAGTGATAAGAACCTCAAATGCTACTTGAGGTTCTTTTCAGTTTGCTTCTTTGACAGTGTTGGGGAAGGATGTTTGGCCTATTTTTGACAGTTCCCGGTCTCATGGTTTATGGGTCTTTCGGGTTGTTTCCCTCAGCCTTCAGTGGAGTGGGTCAGCCCCCCTTTCCCTGAATTCGGGGCTGTCCTCTAGTAGAAGAATCCTATCCTCTACTGTGCATAGTTATTGTGACTTTGTTGGATTTGGGCATTCTCCAGCTGCCCTCGTCTCTTTGGGAGCAACTAGGACACCCACCCTTCTCCATGCTGGATTTGGCAAGCCTATGATACTTCATCTTTCAGAAGATTCATTGTCTGTCCTACCTTTTGCATGGCCTCTTTGGCTCAGGTTCACCTGGTATACCAGACAGATTCTTGGTTCGTATCCCTGGGCCTCGAGGCACGTCCCAATTCATCTGAGGTTCCAGGACCTGGTTAGGTTTCATTGTGGGGTATCTAGATTTAACCCTTAATCTGTGCATTATATTTTTGTACCAGTTTTAACAAGAAAAAAAAAATACTAATTTTGGTTGGATTAACTAGCATTCAGGAAGCATGAAAATGCGAGTAAAAATTTATCTACCATTTAGTAGTTAAGGTGTACTGTAGTGGTCCAGAGAATAAGTGTATTTTTTTAAACGTGGTGAGGTGCCACATGTACCTTGTTTATTATTTCAGAGCATGGCATACAAAATTCTTGGGAGAACAGACAGGGCAGACAAGGATAGACTATTTACCATGGATGGTACACAAAGATTACAGGTTGGAGAGGATGTAGTGCCCAAAAAAAGCCATCGACACATGATAAGATATTTAGTTGAAGATATGTCAGAACTCACTTGGCTTGGAAACCTATTTACTAGTCACCTGAAAGTTGAGATGTGCAACCAAAGAACTGATAAATAAATGAACAAATCTTTCCGATTCTGCCTTTCTAAGGCACCGTCTGGGATGCTCTCGGACGTAGGTTCGAATCCTCGTCACGGCCCTTGTGGATTTGTTCATTCGATACATCACGCTATTGTGATTTCTGTGTGTAAAGAGCTGATACCTATTCCCATCAAACAAAACTAGCAGAGTACAACAGGAGTACAAAACCATTCTGTATGTCACTTAGTGGCAAAATACCCATACAGCAATGCAAGCAGGTGTACTGTGTACTTTATCAGTACCCACAGTAGCCCATGCATGCCCTTTCACAATATCAATCACAGATTATGAAGTCCAGTAATATCTCGTCAAGAAAAGTTGTGCAATCAGTGGTGGTGGAAACATTTCTTTATTAAGAATATAATTCAGAAAGTAATAATTAGGATAGAACTCTTCAAAGATGTACTAAAAAATGGCATTTTAATTATTTTACAAACCTTAGTTGCAGCTGATGGAATCAAATATTGCATGTAAAGTCAAAACTAAAATTTCATATGAAATCCTATACATCATTTTTGTTCATTAGAACAAGTGTTAAAATGGCTTACATACCACGGTAAGACAATTCAGGATACTTTTTTTGAATTTCTGCTTGACTCTGCATCATGAAGTTCAGGTATGGTGTTACGGGCCTTTTTGGAGGTTCTGGAATACCCAGCTGCTGAGCAACAGTACTTTTGTAGACGAATGACACCAGTCTAACAATTAGAATAGAGTACATAAATATCAGATCAAATACCGTTTTATATTATAATTACTTTATATGAATATAAATTACAAAATACAATGCATAACTGTCAACTTATTCTTACCACAAAATTTACTTATAACATTGTTATTTCAAAACCAATTTAGACATCTTTCAGTTTATAAACCATGATTTTAGAATCATCTTTCCCGTGGCACAATGGTAAGACACTTGCTCCGCACTTCGCAATCAATTTAGCCTGGGTTCATATCCTGGCTGGGGAGGATTGACTAGGTGCCAATCCTTATCAGTACACCTCTGTTCACCCAGCAGTGAATGGGTACCTGGTTGTTAAACCATTTGGCAGGTCGTATTCTAGGAAAAATTAAGATTAAAGATCTACCCAAAACGCTATGTATGCTAGTGACTTTACAAGAATGTAAGAACTCATGTATGAAAAACACATTTACATAAACTAACTGGCAGCATACAGTACTAGGCCTTGTAATGCCTCCTACATTATTATGGCACTGATGACCTCACTACACTATATAGCTATGCTTCAGAGAAATGATTTTAGAAATTAATCCTACAGTACAAGATGATGTTCCTTCTGTTGACCAGACCACACACTAGAAGTTGAAGGGACGACGACGTTTCGGTCCGTCCTGGACCATTTTCAAGTCGATTGGTCTTGAATCGACTTGAGAATGGTCCAGGACGGACCGAAACGTCGTCGTCCCTTCAACTTCTAGTGTGTGGTCTGGTCAACATACTTCAGCCACGTTATTGTGACTCATCGCCTGCATGATGTTCCTTCAATTACTGTACTCTTAAACTGTACTTAGATCTCTCTCTCTCTCTCTTACATGATACTCCTTCCCAACCTTTACTGTCTACCACAACTTTACCTACCTCTCTAAACTAGCAAATATACAACTAATATAAACTGTGAACCCGTTGGCCCCGACTCAAATTTCTGGGCTAGCTGTCAGTAGCTCCCCAGTGCATTGGTACCACAGAGTCGTTCACAAAACTACCAGACCTCTAGGCTTGAATAAGCCTACCAAACACTAGGATCTGGTGTGCTCATGAAGGTGAGGGGGAACATGTGAATTTAAGATCAACTTCGTAACCGAGTAAAACTGCCCGAAAAGAAGAAACAAAAGCAAAATGTAATTAATTTAATCATAAATAACTAAAATAAAAAAAAAACTATTAAAAACAGAAATATAAAATAAATAAATAAATAAAATAAAATGTTTATTCAGGTAAGGTTATTCAGGTGGGAGCCAGTCGGCCGAGCGGACAGCACACTGGACTTGTGGTCCTGGGTTCGATCCCGGGCGCCAGCAAGAAACAATGTGCAGAGTTTCTTTCACCCTATGCCCCTGTTACCTAGCAGTAAAATAGGTACCTGGGTGTTAGTCAGCTGTCATGGGCTGCTTCCTGGGGGTGGAGGCCTGGTCGAGGACCGGGCCGCAGGGACCGGCTGCGGGGACCAGGGACCAGGCCGCGGGGACACAGAAGCCCCGAAATCATCTCAAGATGACCTCAAGATAGAAGGTACATACATACATACAAGAGATTTTACATAATTTGATCGATTTATAGATGGAGCTAGTACATACAATTCCTAAAGCCACTACTGTATTACACAAAGCGTTTCGGGCAGAGGTATTGTCAACAAACCATGATTTCATATAGAAGCACTCCACCACCAGATGGCAGCTCAGGTCTCACAAGAGTTCAGCCTACCTGCATGTTTTACTTGAATGCCTGGTACCAACTTAACTACTCCCCCACAAAGAACAACATTTTTTTTCCATTAGCTAAGTAGACTGGTGTTCCTTGGGACTGTGTTGTCTTGCAAAGGGAGGGGGGAGGGAGCCATACTTAGTATCAATTAATTTTCCATCATATTTCACGATTGTATTTATGCATGATAGTATGATGATAGATGGAATTACTGGTGTCTATTTCACTTTGCCTCAGATCTACAAGATCATCATACTATCATGTAAGAGGAGCCACATATCTATTGTTCATCCAATAAAATCAGCAGACTTCTAGATGTTACTACTGCTTGGCTTAGACTCTGTTACAAGTATCTCTGGGAATTCTCATTATCTGCTGATATAGACCTGACCATATGTAAACTGTCAACAAAATTATTCGCACACCCTCCGTCACTATGTGATGGCGTGCGAAAAGATACGTGAATTCAGAGACGATTCTATAACCAATGTTCCAACAATGTGTAAATATTTCATTCAAAATGATCTGCTACCAGAAATTTTAGCCAAATTTCCCAAGTTTGCTAACTGTCGGTAGTAACCAAGTGATTGTAATCTATCCACTTCTGCCCTCTGGATAGGGGGCGGTGTGCAGGACAAACGTATTAATTGTGACTAACTCTCCACATATGTCAGTTGCTTAATTTAGAAACTGTACTTGTGGTCGATCTCGAACCCATTGATAATGTGATAACTTGTACTGAATTTTGTAACTAGCTCATCAAGATTGTAACTTGCTTAGCTAAATGAATTGTGGGATTCAGTCCCTGAGACCATTATGTGCCTCTGTAACCCTTTCCACTACTGCCCACAAGATGGATATGGGGATGCATAATAAATGAACTAAACTAAACTGCATTTATGCTACCCATCTTGCATGTCTTCAGCTTTTTTGCTCACCCAGACTTTGTTTCAGTTATTTTCTCTGGTGTCAGCTTGCATTTCTCATTTCCTCACCAAAGTTACGTATTCTCTAAGGGGTTTGGGTGCCCTTTCCTTTCAGCACAAAGGTAGTGCTGCATGCACCGGAGTGACTGACGCCCCCAAGAACCATACCACCAGAACAAAAACCTGACAATGGCTGAAAGGATGCACCCACTACTGCCAAGACACATGAAACCACCACCGCCACCTCCTCAAAAAAAGGAAGGTAGCAAACTGGTGGATGACTTCTCAAGCAGACTCCTGGAGAGAATCTAACATGTAAAGCCAGCAGGTTCAACAAGCTGCAAAGAAGGTCTGTACATGAATACCTGCAGTGTAATGTTTTATAAACACTTTAAGGAAAACAACATTCGTCCAGTTGTACAGATATTTGTCCCTAACTGGACAACTGCATCCAAACATGGAGACCTCACCTATATACAGACAAAAATGTACTGAAAATGTCCAGAGCAGAGTGAAGAAAATCATCTCAAAATGAAGTCAACCACTAATATTGTATCAGGAAAGGCTGAAGACCTCAGGACTAATAGACTCAGAAAACAAGACACAGCTAATCAAAAAGTCATGCAATCAACACTACATTACAAGGCATATAATCAACACCTTTAAAATACTGAACAAATTATATGTTAATCCACACCACTAACTCTCAGAGTGTAGTTATCGTCAAAATTGTCATCCTAAATGCATGAATAAAAAATTATTTTAGTGGATTTTCTTTGGAATACAGGTCGGGACTAAAATCTTTTAATGTTAAATATCGTCAATGCACATCCCCTGACATGTACTCTTATATCGAAAACTCTGCACTGCAATGCAAATCCTGACTTCAAGCACTTCCTAGAGGTCTGTAATAGAACCCATGGGCACCACACTAGAAGCAAATATCTTTGTGAAATTTCTAGAGTGAGACTCAAAGCAGAAATGCTATGCATATCAAGAGTCCCAAATTGTGGAATGACCTCCCAAATGTGATTAAAAGCTGAACCTCTCCCAACTAGTTAAGAGAAACTAAGAAGTATCTATTTAACATGTAATAAATCTCGCTCACATTTCCTCATCAAAAAAAAAAAAAAAAAAAAAGACTTGTGTTTTGCTGTTATGCATTTTAAATTTTAGGCATTAAAAATGTATGCCAATGCTTTATCATTAAGTGCCATCGGATTACTGTACGTCATTTGCTAAATTTTTGATTTGTTAAATATGTTAGTTTGCTGCTTCTTTATTATTAAATGTTTACCCTGAAGATCAAAACCTACAAAAACATTTTTACCGATTTATTTTGTTATACGTTAAACTCTTGGTATTCTAGTGGCTTTGCTAAAAACTCGCCTTCATATATTTTTTGCTGTTATTACTAAAGTTCAATACTACTGTATATCTGTTCTGTTGCCAAAACTACAAATTCTATAATGTATATATCTAGGTCAATTATCATCATCACTTTATAATGTTTACCAGGTATCATTTGCTAAGTTTCTTGAGCATTTCATTTGGCTTACTTCTCATTCAGTATTAAGCATTTACCCCAATTATACCTATACAATTTTTTACAAGAATTAATCTAAGTTTTGCCCAAAACACTGTGTATTAGTAGCTTTATTTAATATGCAACCTCTGTACCTTCAAATATACTTCTGTATTTGGTTGTATGTATGCATATTTTACAAATAAATCATTATTATTATTAATACAACAAACTGCTTGGGATATGAATAATATTAATACAATAATGAGCTCGATGAAACGGACACTATCAATGCAATTATCTGAAAAAAGAAACAATACAGTACAGTATTATTAAATTAAAATTATCTGAAAAAAGAAACAATACAGTACAGTATTATTAAATTAATCTTACGGTAAGGTCCTGGCGAGTAGTGTAGGCCTACACAGGCCTCCAGGCCCCGCATACACAGCCCGTAAGAACATCGCTCAGCACAGCTGCCAGTATTTTCTACAATGCAGAGAAATCAGTGCTCAGTGAAGACTTTAAGACAGGAACTGTATGTTCTTTATGGTATGTGCAGTTTCTTCTTCTTTATGGTATGTGCCGTTTCTTCTTCTTTATGGTATGTGCAGTTTCTTCTTCTTTATGGTATGTGCAGCTTCTTCTTCTTCTTCTTCTGTATGTTATGTACGGGTTGCGTGAACTGGTATTGTTGTTGGTTGAGGGTCGACGACAAACAATTACACAACTGCATGTTCTGAGAGACGAGCGCTCACTGATGCATCTGTATACGTTCGTGTAGTCGTGAAGCCATTAACACGAACACGTTCGCTGAATAAATAAGGTTATTAATACATAGAAAAGCATTAAGATATATTTAAAAAATAAAAATATATATACTTTTTAATATCAAATGTACAATTAACTCATTTCTTACTCAGTACAATCATTAAATGAAATAAATTATATTGCTAAAGTCAGAGCCAAATGAAAACATTCGGAATCCGCAGCACCAATGTAAACAAGGTTTCCGTGGGAGATTTAAAAGGTGCTTTAATTGACACGTTGTTTTATTTATTTAGACACGAAAAAGTAGCAAAGGGTCATACAACAATCTTTATGTGAGTTTCTTGGCCGAAACGCTAAACTTATAGTAGTATAATATACAAATACTTTAATCACTAGTTAACACCTAAATCTTCTGATCTTTTAAAACCCGGCTGTAATTACCTAAGTGTAGTTACAGGATGAGAGCTACGCTCGTGGTGTCCCGTCTTCCCAGCAATTTTTGTTATATATTATTGTGAAACTACTAACTTTTTTTTGGCCTCCACCACCACCTCCCTTAATTTGTTCCAACCGTCTACCACTCTGTTTGTGAAAGGAAATGTTTTTATATTTCTTCGGCAGGTATATTTAGTTTGCTTAAATCTATGACTATTTGTTCTTGAAGAGGAATTCTTCCATATCAATTTTGTCGATTCCCGTTACTATTTTGTACCTAGTGATCATATCGCCTCTTTTTTCTCCTCTCTTCTAGTTTTGGCATATTTAATGCCTCTAACCTCTCCTCATTGCTTTACGAATCAATAAATCCTCGTAGCTCTTTATCAGGGTGTTTCTCACACTCATTCCCTACTGCCCTCTCTCTCCTAATGTCCCCTTCAAATCTCTTTCCCTATCTTTTCTCTCTTCAAACTTCCCCCCTTTCCAACTTTCTCCCTTCTCACCCCTCTCCTTGACATCTCTTCCCCTCTCTTTCCGTCTCTTCCACTCTGCCCCCTCCTCTCCAATCAGCTCTCTTCCCCCCTGTCACACTTCTCGTCCCTCGCCACACTCTCTCTCAATCTCACCCCTCCTCTCTCCCAATCTCACCCCTCCTCTCTCCCAATCTCACCCCTCCTCTCTCCCAATCTCACCCCTCCTCTCTTGCCTCTCCCCTCTCCTTCATTCTTCCTCCTCCCTCTCCACCTGTCTGCACCTTCTTTCCTTCCTATCTACAAATGTGCCCACCTCATTCCCTCTCTTTAAACATCCCTGCTCTCCTCCCGTCTCCTTCCGTCTCTCCTTGTATCTGTCTGTCTCTGTGTGTTGTTGTCTGTCTCTGTCTTTCCTGCTTGTCTTTCTGTCTCTCTCTCTGTCCTGGTCGACCCGGTCCATCTGCAGGCCTAGCTATTACTGTCTGTCAGTCTGTCTGTCTGTCTCTGTCTGTCTGTATCTGTTTGTCTGTCTCTGTTTCGGTTTCACACCGTAAGTGAGACACCGCGCAGACACCGTAAGTGAGACACCGCGCAGACACCGTAAGTGAGACACCGCGCAGACACCGTAAGTGAGACACCGCGCAGACACCGTAAGTGAGACACCGCGCAGAGACCGTAAGTGAGATAGAGACAAATTAATGAGTAATATAATGTGAAAAGAGCAGAGTGGGTGACGCAGTATTTGATTTGTTAAAGTATACTGGTTCTTGTAGTTATCTTTTTGCAATGTTTTACTAATCTGCTCACATTTTTGTTAACGGTAATCAGCTATTTAAAAGCCATCCAGTAGAAGTAGTATTTACTTGAATTTATCCGAGGATCCCTATTTCTCTAATAGCCTCAACAAGAACAGGAAGCCGGCGGCTTGTCAGAGATCTCCCCCCCCCTATTTATTTATTTGGATTTTAATTTCCAGCAGTGTTTCTGGCATTTACGGCTTCATCGGGTATGAGGTTCCATGTGGGTGAAGAAGCATCTGTTTTCTGGTCTACATTTTGGCTTGTTGAGCTTGAAACCGTTGCTCCTTGTTTGTGTTACGTCTGACAATTTTTTTTTTTAAAGAAGCGGTCTGGAAAATTGTTCCGTATTTTAAAAGTTTCGAAGAGCTCAGCCCTGTCATGTCTGGTTTGTGGTGTTGTTAGCCCTGTGGCCCTCAACCGTTCCTGATATTAGAGTCGACTTAGTTCAGGAATTATTTTTTTTGTCGACTGGCGTTGAATTTTCTCCAAAGAAGATGTGTCTTTCTGAAGATGAAGTCTCCTTGCTTGGATACAATAATACAGGCGGAGGGATTAGAAGGCACCAGAGATTTATATTGCTGAATGACTACTTTCTTCTCCTTAAAGTCAAAGATACCCTTGAGATACCAAAGATACCCCAGGGTTAGATTAGCTTTTTTAATGCAATTCTTTTACTTACTCAGTGATGATCTTATTTTTTAAAAATCTTTTCATGATGCTTCCATGCCTTGATCACCTATTAGCTCCCTCCAGGATGTGCTTTGCAATTCCGAACTCGTTTCTTGATAATCTCCTCAAGGGTAGTCTAGTAAGTCATCATCCTGGACCTTTAAATGGGCTTCTGGAATATTAATTCATCTTAGAATATCGTGATCACATGAAGTGGTGAGCTTTTCCTGTATTTCAAGATGTTAGTACAAGATCTAGAATGCTGAACCACGTACCGCACTCCCCGTGGTGCAGCGGAAAAGCACTCGCTTGGCGCTTCGCAAGCGCTTTGACCTGGGTTCGTATCCTGGAAGGGAAGGAGTGACTGGGCGCCAATCCTTAACTGCAGCCTCTGTTCACCCAGCAGTGAATGGGTACCTGGTTGTTGAACGATTTGGCGGGTCGTATTCCGGAGAAAATTAGTATTATGGACTTGCCCGAAAAACGCTATGCGTGCTAGTGGCTGTACAAGAACTCTCACAAGAGCTGGTAAGCTGGTATTACCTCGAGAGGTCTCTGCCACAGGCTGTGGGAGAAAGGAGCTCTCTACTAGGTCAAGAAATTGTTCTCCTTCCGCTTGTGTGATGTTCGATTCTCCCAATCTACTGTCTCGTGGTTAAAATCCTCCATTAAAGTCTTCCATTCCACACATCACAGAAGAAACATGCAGTACCTCGACCCAAGAGCCAAAGCTCAACCCCCGCTAGCACGACTAGGCGAGCACACACAAGGATGCCCTTGAAAATAGCTGATTTATTGGACTTAAAAACATATAATTTTTACCCTATTGAAAAAAGGGGTAATACATGCAAACTACATTTTATAAATGCAAAGCTAACAGACCTAACATTTGAAACTTGAGCTGCGTGAATATAAATAATTAATATGCCGCACTGACTAATACAAAATTCATAGAGCAGGAAAAATTAAAACTTTATGATATGCAAACATTCGAATTAAATAATAGTGTCGTTTCATTATTTATTTTGCTAATTTAGAAGAAGAAGCGTAACGAAGCCTCAGATAAAGCCTACTGAGTCCTGTGAAGGTGCGTACCCCTTCCTGTACCATAGACAAGGTGTGTGTACCCCTCACAGTACCGTAGACAAGGTGTGTACCCCTCACAGTACCATAGACAATGTGTGTACCCCTCACAGTACCGTAGACAAAGTGTGTACCCCTCACAGTACCGTAGACAAAGTGTGTACCCCTCACAGTACCGTAGACAAGGCGTGTACCCCTCACAGTACCGTAGACAAGCTGGAGACCCTAAGGCAGTTCGTTGATGTCTTCATCCTCGTTCTGGCAGCTCCTGCGACGGCGCTGGAACCCAGCGTAATAGCGTATGCCTTTCCACTGATTAGTATTTTGAACTCTTAATAAACCCTGTAATCACAGAAGTTAAAATTAATACAAAATATTTTATAGTTTTGAATTTTATGTTGTAGCTAAAGTGAAAAGACAATATATATTGTCTGGGATCATAAGATCTGGCTCTCTAATGTTGTTGGAGTTCTCTGTTATATCTATGATGTTGTTGGCATTCACTGCTGCCTCTCTGGTGTTGTTGGAGCTTCCTGGTGTCTCTCTGGTGTTGTTGGAGCTTCCTGCTGCCTCTCTGGTGTTGTTGGAGCTTCCTGGTGTCTCTCTGGTGTTGTTGGAGCTTCCTGCTGCCTCTCTGGTGTTGTTGGAGCTTCCTGCTGTCTCTCTGGTGTTGTTGGAGCTTCCTGGTGTCTCTCTGGTGTTGTTGGAGCTTCCTTGTGTCTCTCTGGTGTTGTTGGAGCTTCCTGCTGCCTCTCTGGTGTTGTTGGAGCTTCCTGCTGCCTCTCTGGTGTTGTTGGAGCTTCCTGCTGTCTCTCAGGTGTTGTTGGAGCTTCCTGCTGCCTCTCTGGTGTTGTTGGAGCTTCCTGCTGCCTCTCTGGTGTTGTTGGAGCTTCCTGCTGCCTCTCTGGTGTTGTTGGAGCTTCCTGGTGTCTCTCTGGTGTTGTTGGAGCTTCCTGCTGCCTCTCTGGTGTTGTTGGAGCTTCCTGCTGCCTCTCTTGTGTTGTTGGAGCTTCCTGCTGTCTCTCAGGTGTTGTTGGAGCTTCCTGCTGTCTCTCAGGTGTTGTTGGAGCTTCCTGCTGTCTCTCTGGTGTTGTTGGAGCTTCCTGCTGTCTCTCTGGTGTTGTTGGAGCTTCCTGGTGTCTCTCAGGTGTTGTTGGAGCTTCCTGCTGTCTCTCAGGTGTTGTTGGAGCTTCCTGGTGTCTCTCAGGTGTTGCTGGAGCTTCCTGCTGTCTCTCAGGTGTTGTTGGAGCTTCCTGCTGCCTCTCTGGTGTTGCTGGAGCTTCCTGGTGTCTCTCTGGTGTTGTTGGAGCTTCCTGCTGTCTCTCAGGTGTTGCTGGGGCTTCCTGCTGTCTCTCTGGTGTTGCTGGAGCTTCCTGGTGTCTCTCTGGTGTTGCTGGAGCTCTCTGCTGGCTCTCTATATTTCCAACACAACGCACTAATGTGTTGGCAAACTTTTTAGTGGAGAATGTGTGTTAATTAGAGTTACCCGGGGAACAGAGGCGGTGGTGTCGGCTTTATCGTACAAAGTTACGTTTCAACATACCCAGGATGATCAAAATTACTTGCTAGAATTATGTTACTTTCGTTACATTTTTACGTCACGAAAGTAACGTAAATGTTACTTTCTCGTAAAGCAACTAATACGTCGACGGCAACTTTTATTATAGTAATTATTGATGTAGTTAACTGCGCCCCCTGCATGTGTTAGACCGAGGTAACCACATGCAATAAAGAGGACTATTGACCCCAGGTAAGGTCATGTATTTGCTTGTGAATGACCAGTAATTGTAGGACTCCCTCTTCCAAAGAGACCTGACCCAATTGAGTTAAATAGGGTGATATTAGAGCTGCCCCCCTTGCAGCGACCACACTGCAGGGGCGAACGTGACCATGTTGCCAATTAATGATTTTCTGCACTGACGCAGAGTTGCCAAGTAGCTTCAGAGGGGGGGGAAGGGGAGAGGTTATTTTTACCATAAATCAAAGTTTCTGGGTTATTTCTTGTCCGTCGATTGAGTGGGTTTATGTTTGATCGGTTTTTTGAGGTTTATGTACTAGTGTATATGAGTCAGTGTTGATAGCCGAGGTGGGTGACATCCTACATAACTGTGTCATGGGGTTTTCCAGGGAGGAAATACGCTCACGACGCAAGCACCGCTCCTGTGCCAGGTAAGTTACGGGCTCACCATAGCCCGTGCTACTTGCCCCGCTCCTGTACGAGGTAAGTCCTCTACGGGCTCACCATAGCCTGTGCTACTTGCTCCGCTCCTGTGTCATTTAAGTCCACTACGGGCTCACCATAGCCCGTGCTACTTGCCCCGCTCCTGTGCCAGGTAAGTCCTCTACG